CAGTGGGTACTAGCACTCTCAAGAGTTTGGAAATGGCTTTATAGCCTTTCTCATCTTTGTGGGCATTCACAATGCTCATGCGGAGGTCGTTGCTGAGTTCCTTTGTTTTTGCCATGATCATAACAACTGAGGAAGATTTCATTATTGCACTTGATTTTATACTCTAGAACAATGGCATTCCAGAACTCACTTACCACCTTGGAAATTATTCAGACTGGCCTACACAACTTTACATGTGAACAAAACAACATGCAGATTGTCTGAAGCATGTGCATATCAGATGCATATGGCCAAATGGCATGCTTTAACAAAGGGTATGAATAATTTTGAGTGAGTCAGAATACAAATAAAGTAATATGCTTTTTTGTTATACAAATTAGGTTGTACAAAACTCATTCAGAATGTTTACCTTTCAAGTAAAGGTATTCAACCACAGCCAAAATATTCAGTATCTACCTGTCATTTTCCAGAAAAACACAAAACATTGAAATTTCAGTAGGGGTATGAATAATTATGTTTTTAACTGTAGATGTTTTTTTCTGATATCGCTCCTGGCTATGAAGAGGATGAACGTGCAGTTTTGCCGGTATCATTCACATTGTTAAAACTATTATAGTTGTCTAATGCGTCATGCTACCATTTTGTTTTTAAATTGGAAAGACTATCCGATTGTTAAAAATAAAATATTCTGGCGACTGAATGCTTGAAAATGCAAAATGAAATGACTGATGAACAAATGCACGTACGTGTATAATGCCTTATGTATGTGTAAACTTTGAACTTGATCTCTTCAAGAATGTCAGAAATATGGATACGGAACGATATTATTTAATTAATAGCCGCTATTCGGTCATTTTGAACCTGGTCCGGAAAATAAAACGATGTGCATCAAAGTCCAATTGTGCTCAATGCATATACATGGTTTTACCAAATCTGTCTACGTACGACTGCGATGAAGCTCCGGAATAGTAAAAATGTATGATTTTCATGGTCTTAAACTAGTTGATATCCGACCATCTTGAATCGGATAGTGAAACAAATGGATGTTCATATGCCTGATGTATGTGTAAAAGGGCGGTGGTCGTCGCTCAGCACGTGTCTGGGCTTGGGCTTGATAGATGTATGCATGTGTGGATACATAAATAACAATTCTAGAAATTAACAACATAGTATAATACTCAAAGCCCAGGACTATGTGTGTAGGAATGTTCGGTACCTGACGTTTCCCGACGTGCGTCGAACAGTATCATATGCGGCAGCATCGTCCGGTGAATTTTAAGTAGCCAGCGACCGGAGTTAACGAGTTGGAGCGTCGAACGTTACCTTCTCATCCACAGCGCCAGGGCTTCCTTCCCAGTTGGATTTCATACTGATGTTAAACGCCGGGTTCGACTATGGTATTACGTGGTGTTACTACTCGCCGCTTTCAGGGTCGTGCAAAGCGTAGACCTCCCATGTTGGTCAAGATCTCGAGCAGCAACAACCCAGAACCATGCTGTCCCAGTTTTTAAATACCATGACATCACATAGCTAATTGTATCTATCGTTAATTTGGCTTCGTCACCTGTTCGTACACACACGGATACTCATCCAGTTTTGTCCAAGGGAGACATCGAGGTCACATAACAATACGTACTTTATGTTCGTTTAAATGCGGCTATAAAACCTACTAGTATCTCTGCGCCGTTATCAGTGAATGTCATTGCAACTACCAACAAGCGGAAATATAAATCATGGCAGAGGTGATAACCGCGCATTTGTTTTGGAAAGCGGCAGACAAGTATTGTGAAAACAGGAAATCAACGAGAGATTCGCTAAATCAACATTTCGCTATTACGTCATTTTACCACAATTCGTTAAAATTGCATGTCGCTTTTTCAACATGTTTTACAGTAATTAGTTTCTTATATGATCCTCGTGATACAATTCAAAGGTTTATTCTAAGAACTAATTATGTCTTTTATTAATGTTGAATGCGCGACTCAATGGCACGATGTACACTATCTTATATTTAAATGTATAAATAGTGTAGTAAGTTATAATATGGGATCTGTATGAAACGTCCAGGCGTCTAGTATATCGTCATTTTCTCACATGGTAGATAGTGTGGATATGGCTTTTATAAGAGGCCCTTATTGCTGCAATCCGAGTGACGTTTGTTTCCAACTCAAGCTGCAGATATATATATATAGGGTGGATACGTCGGATTGTACAAGATAATACACAAGCACGAGGTCTCTCGTTGCCTTTAACCATTATAGAATGAGTATTATAGGGTGATGAGTATTACCCGACATAAAATCTTCCCCAAAGCATGTGTACATATTTTTGGAAGTAATCTCCTACTGAGCTGGTTGGTACTTAGTATGCCTTCGATGAATTTAAAGTTTGATTACAACCCCAGGTTACATTATCACGCGAAGGTGTTATGTTCGATGGATACCTGAGTGTCATACGGCATAAAGCTCTGCTCGTATTTTATTCTACATATAAGGGCTTATACTCCTATTTCAAAATATAACAATTCGAGTACGTTTACAATGCTATGTGTTAATGTTTTCTTTTGATCGTGAATATCATAAATGTTTGGATATATATATATATCAAAACATAAGGGCATGCGGACGCTATATATTCATTATTATCAGCGTATGAATATTCATAAACTAGCCTAAATACTTGGTGGACATGACGATCGAAGTGTATATGTACATGTACATGTATGTGTAGTCGTGCTCGTGGTATGAATCAAAGTTCCTTTTTATATTATAAGTATCATGTAGATATGTTTTAATACTTGTCTTAGTTCATATCAAGTGTTGTTCACAAGCAAGTAGAGGTCGCACAGTACGCAGACTTCAGAGTTTTAAAATAACGCACTTACCTGTATCAAGTTGAAATAAGGAGCCGTACCCGCGAATGCCTGAGCTGTCGTAGAACAACCAGCTCCTAGTATCATTATCTTCACAGGTTTATTGGTAATTTGTTCGAATAACAATCGAACCGATTTCCCCGGTATGCACTGAAACGAGAGAATCGTGTATAAAACCTTTGAAGTGGATTAATTGTATGGGAATATGTTTTGCTATATTATATTATATTACATTAATATGTTGTAAATACCATAATAATCATAGTTACAACAGAGAATTTATTTATAAAGACAATGATGTTATTATTATTATTATTATTATTATTATTATTATTATTATTATTATTATTATTATTATTATTATTATTATTATTATTAATTATATAGACTTGACAATGAGATATAAACAAGAAACATATAAAAACACACGAGTTTAAATTAT